AGCACCATTACTGACCGAGCAGATTGAGTCCAAAAGGGCATTGCTGCTAGACTGGATCTGCAGCAGTGGTGAAGAAAATAAGAAGAGGAGGAAAAAACATACTTGACATTTTTCTCACAAAGTTGTATGTCACAGATTCATCATCCATGACACTAGCAGTAAAAATGAGAATGTCTAATCTTCATTCATATTGATGATACATCCATCGTGTTGTTTGACTTTGTCATCTTGTTAAAAAAGATAGACTTCAAACGGATTTAACAGCTTAAGACTTAGCATCCATTAGATGCTGTGGGCCATCGGCAGCACCAGAACTATACACGAACAGAATCTACGACGTCATGGCCCGACATACCCCAACACTGCCATTACCATCATTTGAAGGATCAACCTCTCATTCAATGGAGAGTGGAGGAGGGCCTGTCAGGCATACCTAAAATGAGATGTCAACCTGGTGAAGCTACAAAACAGGACTACTTGTGAACCAAACAGCAGAAGCAACAAATATTAGTCAGGGCTAAGTGATTCCATAATCAACAGATTGTATATAAGCTCTGCAATCCTGTCATATCTCATCATGAATGGTGATGGACAATTAAACAACTAACAGAGAGAGGAGGCTTCACAAATATCTCCATCCACAATGATTGGGAAGCCCAATACATCAGTCCAAAAGAATTTGCAACAATCTTCAGCCAGAAGTGCTGAATAAATAATCTATCTCAGCCTCCTCTTGAGGTCCCCAGCTTCACGTCTATATTGTGTTGTTCACCTCAGGATGTTGCAAAGCACTTTGAAACAAAGGAAGTACTTTTGTAATGTAGTAACTGTTGTAACATAGGAAACAATCAGCAGTACTGTAAGTCTGAACACCATTAATTTGCTCTTAATGTGTCTTGCTGTCCTTCATTGTGCAGAATATAAAGTAGCAGCACTTCAATAAAAATGAACCTGGCTGACTCCCAACATAAGTACACCAAGAAAGTATTTTTGCTGCAACAATTGAAGACATTGGTGACCTTCTCTAGTAGTGAACTCTTGATGTTTAGATCAAAGGACTGTCGGCGCCAACTCTTTGCTAAAGCAATCCAAATCTAATTGCACTGTCCCAGGCTCCCATGTGCCCTGCTTCTATTCTTTAAAAATGCAATTGATTCTACCTCTCATGTTTCAACAGCCTATTGGTACCTCGTAGATGGCAGACAGGCTTTGGGTAGTCACATGCCTAGGAATTCTCAGCCTTTGATATACTGTTGAAGCCACAGTGTTTGTAATATCATTCCAGTTTGATACCTGGTCAGTTGTGAATTCAGCAATTGCTGTTCCATTGAATATCAAAGGGAGATTGGTAGATTCTGTCATGTTAGAGATGTTCATTGCTTGAAACTTGTGTAGTGTGAATGTCACTTGCCACGTAGCAGCGTGAGATTGAATATTTTTTCTGTCTTGCTGTATATGGACTCAGACTGCTTCAGTATCTGAAGAGTTATGAATGGTATGAACATTACCACTTCTGACCTAATGTTGGAGGAAAGGTCATTGATAAAGCGGCTGAAGATGGTTGGGCCAAGAACGTTACCCTGCCTGCAGTACTTCTGCAGCGATATCCTCGTACTGAGATAATTGGCCTCCAAAAGTCCTGTAATCTAACCTGTACTTTCGCCCAGATAGCTAGTGATTTCAGTTTTACCAGAACTTCTTGATACTAAGTTGGTTAACTGCTGCCTTAATGTAATGGGCTGTCATTGTCATCTCTTCATAGAGAATATTCAGTTCCTTTAAGAGGCATTGCTCTTAATTTCATATGCAGTTTAGAATTTATTTATTTTCTAATGTATATAAAACATTAAAAGTTGGTAATCAGCATTTAAAATTGCTAGAATGCAATTTGAGATAAAATTAAATTGGGAAGAAATTACACAAAGGTTAGAAAAAAATGAGATAAATTTCAGACACTGAATGATGTACTAGGAGTGCAGTGAAATCATAAAACAAAATATATATTTCTGATTTCTAGCCACATCTCCAGTGAGGATACTGGAATATATTTAAAAAAACAGTTGCGCATTTGCTGCAGCGGAAAGCAGTCACCTTGTGTTGCAGTGAAGGAAAGTGCTATCATTAGAACAGGGATTCAGTATTGAGAAACAGATGGGATTTTAAGTGCATTTACCTGTCAACAGCATCTAGTGTAAACCTGCAGTGTGACATCAAAATTGCTGCCAGACACTGGAAGGAAACTCGCTCAGATTGATTGTTCCTCCTCAGAACTACCAAAATGTGACTTTCAGCAACCATTTAAAATTGATTACCTCAGCACTGCACACTCTAGAAGACCTTCAAAGGACTGATTGGAAAAACTGAGTTAGACAAGTAAAATTAATTTAAATTGATTAGACCAGGCTTGAATATTTATTTATTTTATTTTTAAAAAAGAATCACTCAGCATACAGATCCTTCAAATAGGTGTGACTAGAATCTTTCCTTGAGGCTTTAATACAAGAGAGACCTTGTGATTAATAGCTTATTCAAAACAGCATGGTATGATATATGGCTATCTTTCCTATTGAAGTTCTTTGTCACTTAAAGATTATCTGCTGCACTTGTGAGGAGGGAATTCAATTTTATTATGATTGGAATTATACAAGGTAGTGTATTTTCTAAAATTTTATTTTGTTGTATCTTTAGCTGTTACATCAATCAACAAATAGCATTTAAGTACAGGTAAATATTTTAAAGCCGAGACAATAGTTCACATTAACATGGCGATCACTCAGTCAGAGCAAAAATTGTAATTAACCACAATAAATTGTCACCGATCATTTGCACCAATGGCATTGCATTGCAAAATTGTTTCAAACCCACTTTGAACTACCTTATCAAGCATTGTAGAATAAATCTAAATTGTCTTATTGCATTGTGCATTATTGCTGTTATTTAAGAAAGGTATCTAGAACTTGTGAGATAATAATGATACTGAATTTTATTGGTTTTTAAATTATAAAATCCTTTTGTCCTTCATTCGCTGGAAATCTGCCGATTCTAATTGCTCGGCTGAATAGTTTGTGTATCATTTTAATGCTGTTATGGACAGTCAGACTGCCACAAATTGAGTAGGTCCTTGGGCCCAGAAATTGGATCAGGCCCAAATTGGAGTGTGCTTTAGGCACTGAATACGCTAGAAGTGCTTATTAAGGCTGGCAGCATGATTAGAGGTGAGGAGATAGCAAATTGGAAGCCTAATGTAGTTTTTGGGCAGAATGATGACAGGAAATTGGGAGAAAATGAACAGAAGTCAGTAGAGGCCATAGTTTGAACATGGAGTGCTCCTGCCTCACATTAAGCTAAATTTTCCAAAGTTGGCCTCCAACAACTTGGTATTTCTGACAAGTCAATTTTTATATATAAGCCAATGAAAGTATTTAAAGGACATGATTTTCCTGGATTTTCATCACCGAGACAGGCAGTGGGAATCAAGAAAATTCACAGCTCAGCTTGCCAGTCTTGGGAGAAAGTACCCACAAAGGGATCCCAATGATCTTGGGAAAGAGTTCAGAGGTAGCCCTCGAGGCAACTGGATATCTCCATGAAACAGGCTGCCACATCGATGAGAGGTGGGGTGGGTGACCAATTAGGAATCTAACATAAGTCCTGGTGGGGTGGGTGACCAATTAGGAATCTAACATAAGTCCTGGTTGCAAGAATTTGTTCCAGTTGCAAAATGAACAGTGAAAACCAAGCTGTAACCCCCGTGCTCCCCAGACACTATTAATTCATCATGTCTCCAGGCTGGGCCATGATCCCCATCCATCGGGAATGTTTTCACCAGAGTTCCAGTGCTTCAACAGGGTAATGGGTGTTTGGGTTCTCAGCTACGTCTCTTTATGCATTCTTATCTGATAGCACAAATATCTGTTTCTCTATATGTTAAAGCATTGAATCCCCTGCCTGAATGACAGCTTTAATCTCTAAACTTCGCTGTCAATTTCACAATGTTTATTTATACAAGTTTTTACGAAGTTTCAAATGGTTAAAGTTTATGTTATTGATATTTTTAACGGGTCTGGATTATTGATATGTTTATTGACCTGTAATTTTAAAAAAAATGGGGTGTACTCTTTATATATTATGTTGAATGAAATTACATTTTACAAAGCTCTGTTTTACACATCATATTGTCACTTTAGGATTCCCTGTCTGTGTAGTGGGCCAATCTGAATAGAAGTGGTGTGGTTTGACTTGGGGGCATAAGGGACCATTTTAAAAGTGCTCTCTAGTCAACCTGACACAGGTCAGGCCCAATGTTTACTCTAGGCTGTCATCACGCGCAAATCAAAATGAAGTTGTTTATGAATTTTTTTTTAAAAATCTGTTTCCTGCCTGGAAAAATGGGCATCTTTAGATCAAATTTCACCCTCTTGATGTTAAACATAGTAACCATATAATTTTCTCATACTTTCTATAGTCTGTTGCATACTCTGCACATTATGAAATTAACATCGGCTGACATGGGAAACTGGGACGCTACCACTGCACCACTAGAGCCTCTATTTAGCACAAATTATATGCTTGCAAGTAAAGCATTAGTACCTATTGTTGCAAAGTGATTATCATAAAATTAAACTAGCTGATACATCTGTAAACTATGCTTGCAATAACTGAATTCTTATCAACCAAAGGCATATATTTGTCTCTTCTGGTCCTGGATTCACTTCATGTCACCTATCTTATTTGAGCCAATGTGCGGTAGTAATTCTACACAGTGCTTTACCATGCAGAATTCTTGAAAGTTTAACTGCACCTAATACGACAAGCATACAGTCAATGGGAAAAAAATAGTTAGTTCATACCCTTACTTTGCCATCAAATTTGCACTGTGTCACAGCAATCATCCATAAACTTATTACTGTATCTAGCCGTATTAAAAGGTTAATTTTATCTGGATTGTTCCTTCATTCTGAGGTTTATAGCAGACTAAGTCCAATTATTCTCTTTTGCAGTATGATTCAGTGGCTGGTGATGACCGTCTATATTCAGACTTTCCTGAAATTGACCTTTCCCAGCTGGATGTGAATGACCTTGATTCAGTTAGCTGCCTTAGTGAACTGCAGTGGGACAATGACCAAACAGAAATAACTTCCAGCCAGTATAATACAGAAGATTCTGAACTTTTTGAAGTAAGTATGCATTTCAGATCTTGTACTCAATTCTGCAAATGCTAAATAAGCTAAAACATGGTAGAAGTTAAACCTTTACATTCTTTTGGAGCTAAAATGTTTTATTATGCTAATCATTTCTATTTCTACGTATTCAGTGAAGGAAGGGGAAAACGAGAACGTTATGGTTTTTCAGGCTGTGCACTCTTATTTATTAACCCTGCTCTTGAAGACCATGCCACAGTAGTTCAATATAAATGAATACTATTAATGTAATAAACATTTTAAATGACGCACGATCATTCCAGAAAATATGTTTAAATATACATTTTAATAATATTAATTAAAATTCTGAGTTCCCCACTCCCCTGTATTACAAGTAATGAGGGCCTATGATCTTCAGTTAATCTAAGACATCAAGAATATCCTATGTAATCAGCCAGTTATCTTTATATTGAAGCTCAAAGACTGAGGTTGATTTCAGTGTTGGATTGAAAGTGGACTAGGTCAACAGCTTCCTGTCTGTTCTTTAGCTTATCTCTGCACTTGTAGGTAATTTGCTGGAAGTGAGGTGTGATATAGTAGTGGCACAAGTAGAGAAGAGGATTGATGCAATGGTACAACCTATTGAATCCTAGTCTTCCTTGAGATAAGCTCCTTGATGTGGATCATGTTTTGCACATTATTATGGATTAGACAGGGGTTCCTGACAAATATCTAAGGGCAGCCAAATTTGAGGAATGTATCACAGTTGACAGAGTTGCTGGCTTTCGTGAGGCTGAAAATGGCCATGTCCAGCAGTTGCTTTTGTACCTTGCACTTTATATGAACTTTCTGCATAGTGGAGCTCAGGTCTGTGGTGTCTCTGAGTTGGCAAAAACTGCACTGCAACTCTTAAAGGAGTTTCTGAGCCATTGGGAGGAGGCAGCTGGGAAGGAACCCTTCGATTATCTTCGCTGTGGAAGACAGTACGGAGACTCCTCCCGTAGTGACCCCAGTCATGGAATCATACAATTCCTACAGTGCAGAAAGAGGCTATTCGGCCCATTGAGTCTGCACCAAAGCACATCATAACCACACCCAGCCTCTTGAATCACTCCCCTTGAATAAGAATGATAAGGAACGCCTGAGATCCCTGGAATGAAGTGTTCTTCTCAATATGTAGCTGTTCAGGAGTTTACCTCTGCCATGTTTCATTATTTTGGCAGGGATTTTATTATTTTTCAGATGTTGAATGGCTTTTTCAGCCTCACTCATGATTGGGGTAGTGCTGAGACCCAACTGGACTGGATGTTGAGAAATGGAATTGGGATATTCAAGTCAAAGACAGAGTTTCAGTTGTTTGAAGAGTTTGTCAAAATGTTCCCTCTAGTGAGCACAGATTGCTCCCTGTCCATGAATGATCTTGGCTGTCAATAGGGTGAGAGCCTTGAGAACTTGGTGCTTTAGATCCTCTTTACTGTGCTAAAGAAAACACAGATGCTGTTGGTGCTCTTCAGGTTTTTGCATCTCCTGTAGTATTTCTGTCCCATATTTTTCTGTATGTCATAGATTTTATACTGAACTGCTGCCTTCAACTATGTATGATACTGTTGCTTTTCTCTTAAGTGGTGAAGTCTCTAATCTGTGAAAGCTCAACTGTTACTTTTGATTTTGAGTCCAGTACCTCTTTGTAGTTTTCATCTAATAAGTCAATATATCTCCTGGTAGAGACACCAATGATTGCTTGTTATGGCGGACTACAGTGTGCCGTGTCCAACCACCAGAAGCTACAGAGATTGATAGTAAGGTGCTGTGTGAGAAGGGCCATCTTGATGGGTTCATTGAGACCTTCAATATGAGTTTTATTGTGGCATTTTTCTGTTGCCTTCACTGTTTTTTGGGAGTGTATGAGTGCCAGCCTGATGGAGATGGTAGATTAAGTAAGTGTTGATCAGTACCTGTCATGGTACAAGTGATGTGAACATCTCTGTGGTCCCTTGCTCAAACACTGACATAGTGAACTAACTGCCAGTGTTTGGACCACAAGTGTTGCCTTGAGGTCTTGCCCTTGTCATAAATCACACTTTGTTCTGCCAGCAAAACAGGGTCATGCTCGAAACACTTTACTAGGAGAACCCTGTTGAAGTTTGCTCTCCCTATTCCTTCCTTGCCTGTCAAACCCTCCCAGGGATATGTCCTTCCTGACTTCTAACATACAGATCTCTGTGATGAATCACTTTATTGCCTGCTTTGATGCTTCTGTGTGTTCATTCAGAAACTGAGCAGCAGATCATTGTCAATTCCTTCTCTGAAGCTTTTGAAAAAATGGGTCTCTCATTAAATGCCCAGAAAAGTAAGGTCCTCTTCCAAATTGTTTGCACAAATATCACCTCTTCTAGGTAACAAAAGATGAATGGCAAGGTCCTGAAAAATATTGACCATTTCCCTAACCTTAGGAACCTCCTCATGACAGCGACAGACATAGACAACACAATTCATCATTGCCTTTGGTACACCAGCTCAGCACTTCAACCAACTGAGGAAGAAGTGTGTCAAGATCTAGGATCTCAAAGAGAAGTCTGTGCACGGCCATGGCAAGAGAGTCTTGGAAGGGCAACAGAAATACTTCAGCAATGAAACCGAGTGCAGAAATACTTCAGCGCTGTCGTTGAAGCATCACTCCTCAAGAGATCAAACATCCCTGCTGACTCAGGGGAGTCATCGGCTTGTGACCAACCAAAAGGAGATATTTTATTCAACAAAGCATCAAACATATTGAGAAACTTCATTGGGAACATGCAGAAGTGAAGTCAAGATGTTGGATAGAGCATACAAAGCTCCAAACACCTCATCAGTCTGACACCACCTGCCCCAGTTATGGCCCAATCTGCAGATTTTAACTTTGAATTGACTGAGCATTTCTGAATCCCTCAAACCGTAGTCGAAGCAAGCCATGCACAATTTCAAGGGACTGTCCAAAAATAAAAACCAGTGCCAGGAATATTTGGAAACTGCACAATATTAACAAAAGATTTTAAGTTGAGGAGCCTTCTCAAAACACAATTGGAGCTAACCATGCAAGATTCTAACTGTACAGTGAGTCCTTACAGGCATACTTGGTTGGAATTTATTCTATGCAACATGGGTCTTGCGTGCACGCTGAAGAGCCAACAAGAGTGCCATGACACCACCTTTGGGGAAGGCTCAGTGTATTAAGTTTATTTTAGGCACTTAAGTGGCCAGCAGTGGGCCTTGCTTGGGATCAAGGACTCTTGGGCCATGTGTCTGATTGAGGAAGGCTGTCAATCACTCAAAGTGATATCTACCAAAGACCAGGATCAGCAAGGGATCCGAAACCAAAGCTGAGTAAGGGGGTGGGGTGGGGGGTGGGGATCGAGGTGAATGTGCAAGAATGTCATCAGCAAAGTTAGGAGGTACCTTTCAGCAAGCCCCCACTTCCTGATGTCAAGCCCTTCCAACAAGCGCAGAGTCCTCTCCTCAGGAACCAAAAGGGTTTGCTTTCTTGGCTGTCCCATGTGCTGTCTCCCTCTTCTGTCATCAGCAGGTTGGCAGCATTAATTGGTAATACCCAGGAATGTTAATGGAGAAATCTGGTATCTTGACCGTCAGCATGATTCTGGGAGTGCAACTATTGTCAGCTTGTTGCTTGACTAGTCAGTGGGAAAGCTTACTCCACTTTAGCACCAGCTTCCAGCTGTCAGTGACCATGTCTTCACAGGGTTTTCTGAATTGGCTATATTCTATGTTGTCCCGATTCAGAACCTAGACTGTAGCTGACTGGTCCATCCAGTTTGTATCTTGTCTATTTTTGCAACAATAACTGAATGACTTGTTATAAAAACCATGAGACCATAACAAATAGGAACTGGAGTTGGCCATTTGGGCCCTTGAGCCTAATCTGACATTCCTTACATCCACTTTCTCAGCCTTGAATATACACAAGGACTCTCTTTCACAGCTCTCTGTGGCAAGGAGTTCCAAAGACACTGAACTCTCAGAGAAGAAATTCCTCCTCACCTCAATCTTAAATGGCACCCCTTTATTCTGAGACTATGCACTCTGGTCCTAGGGTCTTCCATGATGAAAAACATCCCCTAACATTTACCCTGTCAAACCTGTTAAGAATACTATAGTTTTCAATAAGATCACCTCTCATTCTTCTAATTTCCAGTGAGTATAAGAGTCCCGATCTGTTTAGCCTTTGTACATGAGACAATCCCTCCATACAAGGGATCATCCTCATGAACCTTCTCTGAGCTGTCTCAATTGAAATCGAATCTTTTCCTTAAATAAAGGGACCAGTACTCTCAGTTGTCCAGATGTGGTGTCACCAGCACCTTGTACAGTTGCAGTAAGACTTCCCTCCTCTCATACTCCAACCCCTTTGAAATAAGGGCCAACCTTCTATTAGCCTACCTGATTACCTGGTACACCTGTGTGCAAGCTTTCTGTGTTTAATGTGCAATTAATGCAATTTTTCTCCATTTAAATAATATTCTGTTCTTTTGTTCTTCCTTCCAAAATGAACAACTTTGTATTTACCGAAATTAAACTCCATTTGCCAACATTTTGTCCACATACTTAACCTATCAATATTTATTTGTAAACAGTTTGGATCCCTCTCAACCACCTTTCCACCTGTTTTTGTCTTGCCTGCAAATTTGACTACAGTACATTCACTTCCTTCCTCCAAGTCATTATTGTATATTGTAAACAGTTGCAGTTTCAGTACTGATCCATGTGGAACCCCAATGATTACAGGTCACCAGCCTAAAAAAAAACCCCTTTCCCCACTCGCTGTCTCCTGCCCATGAGCCAATTAGGCGAAGCAGTAAAGAGCCACCCACTGGAGTCACATATAGGCCAGAATGGATAGGGCTTCCTCTTGAAGGACAAGAAACCAATTGGGTTTTTGGATTTGATATTACTTTAGCTGGTGCTAATCTTTTAGCTTCAGATTCAAATTCCCAAACTGCTGCGAAATCATTCTCTGGTTAATTAGCCCAGGTCTCTATGTTACTAGGCAATTAAAGTACCCACCATGCTGAAACAGAGGAACTGCTCAGTATTGTCCTGAATACTGATGCTATAAAGAGCAATAGTAATGAAGTTTCTCACAGTTGTTTCCACTTATGAAAATAAATCAAAACCTATGTAATTGCCTTATACTTTGTAGCTCCTGTTCAGAAGTACAATCAGAGTAAAAATTGTTTGCTGTAGTACGCTTTTCACCTCGCGTGTCTTCTGAATTTTGGCCTTACAGTTGATTGCGCAAATTCTTTATGCTTTGTGCTGTTAGCAGCTGCCGAAGTGATTTTTGTTGAACACATCCTTATTACAGTTATTTTCAATCTCCATTAATGTATTTATAATATATGGAAAGATAGCTGTAAAAAATTGTGGGTTTCCAAATGCAAATCTCAGACATTCGGCCAGATAATAGAAACACATTTATCTGTGTTGCTTGGTTTATACAGCATGGATTAAAATTAAATGTAAAATTCTACGTTCCTCATAGTTAGTAAATTAAGCGTTGTGCAACTGTGCCAGATCCCGTTTTCTAATCCCTTTGCTTCAATATTGTAGATCATAGAGGAAGAAAATGAGGCCTTGCTGGCTGCTCTCACTGAGACACTGGACGACATCCAAGTAGATGATGTGAGCCTGTCTGCGTTCAAGGAACTTGCAGATGGAGTTGTGACTGATTCGTTGGAAACTGCCTCATTATCAACACCAGATGGCAGTCCTTCCACCACACAGGCTGATGAACCATCTCTAGTAAGAATCCTTCCTACTGTTTAAAAGGAATTGGATGAGCCTCTGGGTACCCGCTGCATGGGTATAATGTAGGCAAAATAAGGTCTGAATTTTTTTAATTTTCAGGTTTAAAAATAGTAAAATAAGTTTTTTTTTTCATTTCCTGTTAAGTTGCATGTACCATTAATAATAATTATTAAATAGGTTACTGAAATCAAAATGCATGAATAGGTTAAGATATGATATATATTACCATTAATTTAAAAATGTTACAAACAAATGCAGAATTTTCATTGATCAGACTTTCAATAGGCAAACTTGTTCTGTTTCCCCAGCTAATATGAATTTGGATTCAGATGGTCAGCTTTCTATTCAGCCACATTCATCTACTCCATTCCCTCCACTGACAACTATGCCCTCTCCTTCAGAGAAAGGGAGAAGTAGTTTAGTTGGGCTCCTTCCACAGGACTTTCAAGCTCACTGCTATTGCACATTTGACGGGAAGGTTATTACAAAATACAACTTTGCCAATCTGGGAGTAGATGCAAATGTGGAATTTGAAATAATATAAACAGATCAGCTATGATCTTATTGAATGGCAGAGCAGGCTCAGGGATGAAATGGCCTCCTGCTGTACCTATTTTGGATTTGTTGGAAGGTCATTTTCATTTGCCCCAAACTCTTCATCTTCCCCCTCTCTCTGTATCCTGGTGTTTTAATTGAATATTAGTATATAAGCCAGAAATAGAACAGAACATAACTCAATTAATTCAAGTGTACTGTTACAAAGGGTTTAGTAGATTGAAACAAGTATAAAATCACTTCACATGGCTAATCACATCAATCCTTTCATTATAACATTTAACTGTAAAGTCTCTATGATATATTTGACCATCAAAGATTCATGTACATTTTATTTATATTATGCCATCCACAGCTTTGTTCTAGTTTTTATTTTAATTGGATAAGGAGGCAATGGCCTATTATCACTAGGCTATTAATCCAGTGATGTAGCTTCAAATCCTGTCATAGCAGATAGTGGAATTTGAATTCAATACAAATCTGGAATTATAAGTCTAATGATGACTATGAAACCATTGTCAACTGTCAGGAAAAACCCATTTGGTTTGCTAATATTTCTTCAAGAAGGAAACTGCTGTCCTTACCTGGTCTGGCCAATGTGTGACTCCAGATCCACAGCAATGTGGTTGATTCTTAATTGTTGTCTGAGGAAATTCTGTGGGAATTGGACTGGCCTAGTCAATAGCACCGACATCCTGTGAATAAATTAAGAAAAGAAAAATGAGACTGTTCAGCTTTATTTCATTTGGGTGATTTTTTCTGCCAACACTGTTAAACCAGAAGCAGCTCTTGTATAAAAGCAAGACTTTTTGTTTTTGTTTTCTGAGTAAATTTTTTGCCTATTTTCTTTTAAAAATGGTTCATGAAAAAGAAAGTCGGAATTTTCAAAGGATGCCAAAAGTAGTAAATGTTTGGACATAATAAAAAATGCTGGAAAAACTCAGCAGGTCAGGCAGCCTCTGTGTGGAGGTTCCAAATTAACATTTTAGTTTGATAATCCTTCAGACCAGTTCTAATGCTGAGTTTTTCCAGCATTTTTTGTTCTTGTTTCAGATTTCCTGCATCCGCAGTATTTGCTTTTGAAATACTTGGGCATATTGGCTGTGGAATAGGCTAATCAGAGGATTCAGGTGATTCCATTAATTATGTCAATGCATGAGCAGTTTATAATCTGTCATCTGAAACGTGAGATTAGATTATAGTTTTTTTTTAATATGTTGCTCCCTGGTGTCTACTATTATTTATAATACATACTGTTTCAATTTCATTCTGTTTTTGGTCAGCTTTTGTGTCATCAGCAGCTGTCAGGACACTCACCAACTGTCAGTGTATTCCATGTCTTTGATGTGCTTTGACACTCATGCGAGTGGATTGGCGATTATGCCATCATTACTGCAGATTTATTAAGACCCAGTCTGCAGTCAATCTCTGTCCAATATATGTTATAAAGATCTAACACTAAGAAAGTAGAAATTCTATAATATACATTTCTATTACAGTTTTTGTTTATAAATGAAATTTGTGTTAAACTTGTGATGTAATATTTTGACATATACTTTTTGATAGTTAAGGAAACTCCTTCTGGCTCCACAAAATGTCCAGTTAAACTATGAGCGACAAAAGGGAACCAATACAACGCAAAACGCGTCCAGTAATCACAAGTCAAAAGCACATCGCCCTTCTATCAAGGTATTATTCACTTACAGAACATTGCATGTATCTTTGCTTTTTGCAGATATAGCTAGTTTTTGGTTTGTATTATTTAATTATTATTTATGTCTTTTTCTGAGTTACATGAAATATTACTGAACTAATGTAATGGATTTTGAATGCTTTCTCTCAGTTTCGATCCTGGTAGGATGTTTTTAGCACTAATTTAACTCACACTTTAAGGAGCGGTGAATCACAAATGTGACTCCAGTAGAGAAATATTTAACTGGAGGAAAAAGATACAAAGTTTCCTTTGATGTCTCAGTTGATTCACATATTGTCTAATTGATATTTTGCAGAGTTGCAAACATCCAGAAGCCTCCAGCTTTAATTTCTGGTCTGATTGCAGCCAGGACAATGATATTGATACCATATCAGTGGGTTAGGGAGGGGAAAAGTCTGCTAAAATTCAGTTGGACAGCATACCCTTGTTGGATTGTTATGAAGGTGTGGACATTGGGTGTGAAGACCCCACGGACAGAATTTTATGGTCTGCAGCCAGCAGCTTAGCAGATGTGTTGGGGGGTGATTTCCACCTGAGGTTGTGACCCACTCACCTGAACTGATGGTCCCAAAATGGCTAATTATTGGTTGTTTCCTTGCCCAGCCTCAATTCTGAGATTGACAGTAAGGGTTCAAGGACAGCAGGGACTCCTGGCTGGTTAACCTGCTGGAATCTCAAACAGGACATTAAGGGGGTGGTGAAGTGCTTACCTCACGGGCCCTCCTTCCACTACGACTGCTTCAAAGGCCAGCCCCCATTGTGTGCTCGCTCCTCCCCCCCAAACACTTAACCTGGCCCATAGAGTCAAAGATTTCAAATCTGAGGACTCCTTGTTGAGTCACAGTCTTGGCTTCTACTACCAGTGGCACTGCCGAGAATACAGGGCAGCTGACCAATTTGATTAGCTGGCAGCTGAGGGAAGTCTTCTGCACAAGTGAGGGATGGAACTCCAGACTGCAACCACCAAATAAAATTTATAATATTATCACTATAAGCATATAGTGAATAAATAACATTGGTATCATGCTGTCACCCACTATGTCTTCAGATGGCAGAACAAAATGTCTTGCCTATGAGGAAATAGCATGTAGAGTCTCCATGGCCATATAGAAGAGGTACTAAATGTCTTTAGATGAAAATTTGCTAGTTATTGTTATTGTAATGTATTATTGTTTATGAATTACTAAGATGAAGAGAGGTGAAAACTTTATTGGAAAAACGAAGTGTGTAAAGATTCAGTTTTAATGAATTGATCTGCTTGGCCTTTACTGTACTCTGATCCTCTCTTTGTTTTGTTTAATAAAAAGGTTGAAGGCCCACAGGGCAGTAAGCCGCACAGCATCTGTCAACGTCAGCATCGAACATTCACAGAGTTACACAAGCACCTGACATCAACTACCTGTCCTTCCCTGTTTAAAACAGATGATTCCATACTCACTAAAAAAGACCAAAGCAGTCCAGTGTGGACTTCACAGTATCACCAGTCACATCACCCGCAAGGTGAGAGTGAGGATGATGGTGATGTTGATGACGATTGTGTTAATGATGGTGCTAACAAAGAATTGGATTGCTTCAATGATGGGAATGGGGAACACAAACAAGGACAAAACATTCTACAAAATGGCACATCTTGCTTTGCAGCCAATAAGTCCGAAGATGTGGTGGCATCAGCAAAAGGCAGTTGGACTAAAAGCTCTCAGTTTACCACGGAAGCAGAATTGCGTTCAGTAATTGAGCTTATCAAGTACATGCACACATATTGTCTTCCACCTAGGAAATATCTGGTAGACATGACTGAACAGAGTGGTAGCTGCAATGCTAATTGTAAAAAGCTAAACAGTGACTGCTCTCTGCAGGAGCTTATAAAACCCAGCGTAGACAATCAAAAACTCTCAAATTCCTTAAAGTCAAATGTCAGTCCAGGGCTTGGAAGGAACACTCCAGATATTCGCAAATGGAATATAAGAGAGCTTTCCAAGAGTTCCATTCTAAGGGAGCTATTGGAAAGTAATATTGCTCTAGACGTGAGCAAACCTTATAGACTTCATAATCCTTTGTATCCTGTTTACACTCACTCACCTAGTAAAGTTGAGGCTGTTCTACCTCTGGTAGTGCCCCAGAATGAATGTGATCGTACCATCAAATGTACGCTGGAAAAGCACAGAAAGAAATGCAGTAAGAGCAGGGCTGCTAAAACAGGGGGCACAGCAAGGAAACAAGGAAATACATGCCTTGCGGTTCGACGCTCATTGAGATTGAACCCTCAGGCTAATGAGGTCCTGAACTACGATTTAGAGTCAGCTTCAGGTGGAAGTTTGACTAGAGTAGATTTGAAGAGAACTCTAAAGGAGTCTGGGTCTGTGAATGTGCAGACGATGTTCAATGAGGAAGAGAAGGAGCAGGTAGTAGAAATTGAGATAGATCATTCTGGACAACAACTCTGTGACAGTGGTGCAAGCATTGTACTAGATGACCAGCGGCATCTACAATCCTGTAATCAAGTGCGATGGACTGAGGAGAACAACAATGAAGAAAGTTCGTTTATTCCTGACCTTTCCATGGTTCCATGCTCTAATATAGTTGAGGACCACCAAGCCTTCACTGCACAGGACTTCCCATTATATGAAATCAAGATGCAAGAAACCAGGACTAGCAGAAAGCTAGGTAATCCTGTTTAGCCTATCTGCTTAATTCTTTGCAATAATTATACAAAACTATGCCCCTGAGCCTCTTTCAAAGCTTATTATAACATGACTGCAGTCTTTTGGAAAATTACGTTCATTTTCATTAACACAAAGTTTAACTCCTATAACCATTTCTCAGGTCTGTTTATTCTTACTATTGTATTACATTCTGAGGAGAGAATTTTCTGCTGGTTGCTTGTTACAATGATCTGATTTGCTTTTTCACTCTCGTTCTGTAGTGAGAATACCAAGAAATAGCATCTTCTTTCAAAATGTTAATTTACTTCAACTCTTTAATACTTAACTGGAATAGCTAAGGTTATTTTTAAATATTCTCCGGCATCGGCAGTTCCTACTATCTCTATTTTTAAATAAGCTGTTTTATGTTGATGCTGTAATTTAAAAAAAAACACAGTATATCAGTACTGGATGTTTTAACTACATTTTACATCTCACACCTATTTCTGTGTAGGAACATCTTGAAGATGAGCCTTCTATCCATCCCCAGGTTCCTGTGATTCCCTGATTGAAATTCTTCCAGTACTGGCTTTCAACCTTGAATTTTTTTTCCCTCCATTATGTTGCTTGAAATTGATGAAGTACCAACTGATAATTACCAATTTCAGTAGAACAGTTTAAAACCCTATTCCTGTTTGTCTGTTAAAGAAATAGTTAGCTAAATATAGAGTATGAAATGCAGTGTTGTGGAGCAATCAGAGAAGTAATCAGGGCAAAGTACCAAACAGGACATAAAGATATGGTAGCCATTTTAAGTGGTGTGGGTAGAAAACCCTAAATCTTTCCATTTGCCTATTCATGCATTGGCAGAAAGTGATGAGTAAGCAGCAACTTTAGGTATCTCCAATTTTAAAATCACAAAGCGGCATCAAAATAAACTATTCTTGATCATATGTTATAAGCTATGTGGTTAGGAAGTGCCACTTTCCAGAGGTAAATTAGAGTGCAAGTTTTACAGAACCGTAGTTTGATCAACGTGATGTATTTATGTACTAGGACAAAGTCTCCTACTTAAAAGGGACCATTTTAAGTTAGATTACTTTTTTCCAATAAAAATTTGATCATAATCGTCCTTCAAAAATTACTTATTCTATTCAACTGAGAAATAATTTGGATCTGTAATTCTTTTGTTACAAATGAATGATTCCAATTGGTGCATATTCTCATTTCTATCCAAGTTCAATATCTTGTCTTCATTCTGTCTTAAAATCTTACCAATTTCCTTTTTATTATTGTGTATTTTTATTTTTATTAAAGCTTGCATTTTAATTATGATCTGATATAAAACTTTGAGGTTGAAAATTATCATCTATAAAGTCTTAATTCTCTATACCAAATAGTCAAATGATTTACAAAATAGCAACAGGTTACACTATAATTGACATTTTTTAAACATTTATTTTTGCAGCCAAACCTACAAGCTTGTTACTGAGTCCAGAGTCTGAAAGGTAGGTGATACTCAGTATGGTGTTAGGATTCAGCAGATGCAAAACCCAATCTGGCTTTTACAGTTTGAATTCTTTTATTAGAATCCCATCATTTCCAAACCAGTGCTTGGCTGTGTAATTTCAAGATCTGGTGTTTAGCATTTTTAATATGTCATTTTAAGTATTATTATAGTTTCATTGATCTTATTTTTCCTATTTTCAGTGACTCCAAAGATTCCCCTCTTGAGAGCAAACCCTTTGAACAAGCTCTGAGTGTAGAACTGTGTGGAACTGCTGGTAAGGATATAGTCTTATAACTGACACCATTACTATTCAGATAAGAACCTGTTTGTCTCAGACTGGTTCAGGACAGAGAAGAATTTTATAAAAGATTGAAATTTCTTCAATGACACTTGTTTTCAGCCAAACCAAATGTATTGTCCAGGCATCTTTAAAGATAAAACAAATTAAAGACAAGAGAAGAACCAATCTTTAATATTCACAAGAAATACATGTTTGTTTGGAAATATTGTCACTTTTTTGCATTCTTCTCATTACTCCATACACCTGTTGAAGAGGTTTTATGCTGACACAGATAACTTCAGAAATTTCTGGCTTCATTTCAATACCCGTCTCACCTTTACAGAGAAAAAGACAACAAAAACGTTGAGTCAGTCTTACAGTACGCTTTTCATAGTTTTGAGGTCTGTAATGCATTTGTGCTGTCAGCAGAATGCTAGCAAGTAGACTGCATCTACTTTATCGGTAGACACAAGCAGAATATTAAACGTTATAAGTGAAGTCGCCAGCTCACTCTGGCTCTGGGCTTTTACATGTTTTTTTATGACATTGAGTCAATATGAATGAGATAATTTAGATGCATTTCTGATGTGCTTTCAAATGTGAGAAGCATATTCCAGAGGTGCATTGGGGAATACTGTGAAAGTGCATAGCCATGAAGTTGTATTCAACTTGATGTAGCAATGTAGAAAAAAAAAAGATTTTTTTTGTCTGTTCCCCATATTTTACTTCAGAGCATTATACAGTGTGGTGGTTGTGTGCTAAAGAATTTCAAGCACCTAGATGCTGTATTGATGGAATGAAACACTTTCCTTTATGCCACACAAAATAATGACAATTATTTTATATTAACGAGTACCAATGTTAGATTTTTTGTTCTCTAGGACTTACACCTCCAACTACTCCACCACACAAAACAACTCGCGATGATCCTTTCAAGACATCAATAAAGACTGAATCATCTGTTGACAACAGAATTAACCAATTACCATCAAAAGATCATTGGAGTTCTTTGTCAAAAAGTCTTGTTAATAAACACCCAGAGCAAACTGAACTGTACGCTTATCTTAGCAAAGCCACAGTTACCCCCATTCAAATAGAAGGCAAAAAAGTTAAAAGGTCATACACTAGATGCTTTGGTGATCATGATTACTGCCAATTGTATAGGTCAGAGACTGAAACTGAAAGAAATATTTTGAGACTTTATGAACTTCCAAACTCCAATGGTCAACAGAATGTAAAGGAAAAACATGACAATTATTCACTTTACAATGAAAAGAGACAGAAGATGTCTCCCATTCCAAACCATGGACTTAATTGTGAGAAAGTAGAGATGAGCAAAGAGCTTCCAGTTCAAAGCAGCAATAAGAAATCAATGAAAGACCAAGAGATAAGAGCCAAATTATTCAAGCACTTTGGTTATCCAAAAGAAGCCATCACTGATGAGGAGAAGCAGCATATGCTTGAAGACACTGAATGTGATCTTAAGAAACGCTGCTGTTATTCAGATATAAAGCTACAAACTTGGGTGAAGGAGCCTGACACCAGTTCTAGGGCTTTGTCACCAACCATTGCCTTGCATAAACAATCCAAGTCACTGCCAAAGGACCCTTTGCATCCTCAAGAGCATCAATTAGACAGGGAACGAACAAAGACCTACACTAACCAACAGCGCAAAGCATCATTTGGATCTTCACGCACACAATCCAGGTTTGCAGTGAAAAGGGAATCTGCCAGGTAGGATATTCAAAGTATGAACTTGGAAAAACATAAGACCACAAAGTTTGGACCAAGAACAGGTCATTTAGTTCATCAAGTATACAACATCATAGCATTGTTGACCCCTCCACCCCAACCTACCAGTTGATCTCCTACTTTGAAAAGTACTGTTCCATTCCACCCACACTTAAAAGGAAATCAAATCATACTGTTGACATTTGTGATAAAATTAAGCCACTAGTGCAAAAGATCCAAACTTCCCTGGAAATCGGTTTGACACATCCATCATTCTATGGGCTTGGTGTGGTTGTTGCAGAGATGTGGTTGGTGGGTGGGTGGGAAAGGGAATGGGTTTGAGGGGAAGGGTAGTTTTCTTGAATCTTTGATTTCAATTAAGTCTCATCTCCAGACTCTCACTCCCCAGATTCTCTTTCTTCCCTAGTTCTCAATATCTCTCTGTCCTTTAATACCAAGTCCATGATTAATCTTTTCAACTGACCTGAACCCATTCCCCTAATCACTGGTCAGTGTACACCCTGAGCTTGCAGCCCTGTCTCTGCTTTGCCCCTTGCTGTTCTCCAGATATCTAGCAGCTAGCTGGCCCTGCATCCAGGCACCCCTTAGCTTAGACTGACTCTCTGATTGTAAGAGGGTAACGTTGCAAAGCCAAAGCCACTTTGTGGTCGCAGCTGGTGAAATCAGGAAGAGTGGTAATGTCCATTGCAGGAGGAAATCTACAGCAGCACAGAGTTTTCCCAGCTGCCAGCAGTTGTACCTGGGAAATCCACAACACATTTTGTGAGACATCTGAGTATTCCAAATGGGTTACTACTCTATACCCATATTGTAAAGTCACAATCTACGTCAATATGTGATAGACATTGAGTTTTGTGTTTGCCACTTGTTACTAATTTGTCATTTGGAAATAACATTCCAGTGTTTGCATGAGAGATATGAACAAATACATATTGGCTATTTGTTTATGGAATTTTACAGCATAGAGAGCATTAAACCAACAATGTCTGCCTCAGCTCTCAGGTGCCATCCACAACTACATTCCTACTCTTCATCTATACTTTTTATATCCTTTTTTATTTTGGTATTGCATGTAACTACTCTTCCATAAGCTGTTATTGATCCTGTTTCCATCATTCTTTTAGGTAGGGCTTCCCATACTTAGCCACTTTTTCTTTACAGTAACATATGCTTCCTTGCTATTGCTGATAATAAATTTATGCCCTGCTATTAAGTCACCAACTCATGAAAAATGTTTCTCCCTAATTAAACACTTGTAATACATTTTCTTCATCCTAATGCTCCATTCTAGCCTTTAGAGCTGAAGATTTCACAATCCTGTTGTAACCTTTGATTCAGAAAACAGGTGTGCAAAACTTAAAAGGAAACTTTTTAAAAAGTTGCCTGTCTTCTAAACACCAACATGTTTAGGTATGTAATTATACACTATTGGAACTGTGAGGCTTGAACCTGGATTTTTGGGCTTAGAAGTAGGGACATTACCACTGTGCCATAGGACTCTTAAAAAAGTGGGTGCTTGAGCTCCATTAATATTAATTATTTGTTTAAAAATCTTCAGCAAAAGAATTGGAGCCTGAATTGAATTTGACATAATAACTGAATAGTGTTGTAGAGTTGGCATCAGCAGTTAGTACAATGTATTTTATTTGTGGAAAATATGTTTCTCGATCATCAAATAATCATATCCAACTCAACCAAGTATGGCAACTTATTTTTCTATGGTTTGTATGGCCAGACTTTATTATTCTAAGGCTCTCTTTGTCCTGATGCTTCTGAAATAAGCCCCATCTTCAGCTCCCACTTTGGATTTTTCTTGTGCAAAGTCAGAGGAAAGTGAAACAGAAAGCTGACCTCAGCCCCAAGCACACCCCACCTCTGGAAACACTGAGCTAGGCCTGTCGATCCAGGGAATCATGGAATAATGTTAACAAGTGGGTGTTGCAATAAGGAAAATAATTGGTGCTACTGTCTTTTCCGGGTGTCTAGTTCTTTCCACTCTCATGATCCATGTTCTCAGCCTCTCATCATCGTCTGTTCTGTTCTTAGTTTCTGTAAGGCAGAGACATTCTATGCTGCTGGATAATCCAAGCTGTTAGTGTTTATTCACTTGCTGGTAGTCTGCACATTTGGTCTTGCTCATTCTTCTGTCTCTGAAACTCTTCACCATGACTACTTTCTGACATTTGGTAGTTGATCTCTCTAAATTGCATTTGATTTATTGATTTTTGAAAATAATCATGATGGTAATTACTTACATGTAATTTGACATTTTATTTGGCTCATTAGTTTTATTGCTATTAACACAGGAAATGCTTTTCATATGGACTCATAAACTTTTTATTCAGTTCCAGCTGACTGCCATTCTAACATTCACCTTACTTCGATTGAAGCCTGACTTTGATGCATCAAATCATAAGTGAAGTTTTATTGCATTAAAGAGTTTGAATCAGTCATTACCATACACAAAAGAAAAGTAGTTCATATTCCCATTTTTCTTATTATGCCATTTGTCAAACTTCTGTGGTGTTGCACATAGGGGAGTAAGACTTGATGCAAAGTTCATGTTAGAGTAGCAGGCATGCACAGCATTGAACCAAGGTCAGTGATGAGAATACAGTTAGGAGGGGAAGAGATGGAGGAGACAAGGGGAGAGGTGGAAGGCAGAGAAGAAAATCTGAGACATGTGAGTAAGAGACATGATGGAGGAGCATGGGTTAGAGAAATAAGGAACCATAAATTAGAGACTGTTGGTGTTATGGAAATGCAGAAGACAGAGAATGGTGAAATAAAAGTGTTTAGTGAATGCCAAAGGAGTGTAGCAGACACAACAAAGAAATGGAGAGGGAAGACAGCGTAGACTGGAAAATCTAGTCACAGTGGGAGAAGTTGGAATGAAGAGTGTGAAGTTATATATTATATGCATGTTTTTCAGGAGGTGGTGAAAGTCATGCAGCTAAAATTATGTGTAACCCTGCAGGTATGGGGTGATGAAATGCGATGGTTATGACCAAATCAAATCTCAAAATTGATGGCATCAGGGAATATTTAGACTCTGCCTCAGCTGTCCTGTTTGAGTATTCGCGTCTGTTTTCTTATTCTGGAAGAGAAATTAGTGGACAGCCTAACTGGTGCCTCTGAGGCAGTAGTGCCACTGATGAAATTGAAATTAACCTTGTGTTACAACAATTTGTGGTTGTAAATACATAAAACAGGATCAGCTGAAAATATAACCAGTCTAAATATTTAACACAAAACAAAAATTGGCATCAGTTGAATTAGACAAACTTTTTAATGCATTTTGAAATAACTGTTGTGAGCTACCTATTATTTTTAACCTTCTACACATGTTAAAAAAAAAACCTGACTTGAATGTGTTGATAAGCTTTTATGTTACAAAATTTATTAAATAACCAATTCCAGACTTCACAACATTCTATTTTTTTCTTCTTTCCTTCTTTCTCCCTTTCAAAGGCTGTGACTCCCAATAGGATAGTGTCCTAAGGGTGCTGATGACCTTATAACATCTGATCAAATCATTTGCACAACCTTTTGTGTAAGCTAAGATGGTGGCTGTTGTCAGGTTACTCAACCATAATGACCATTATAATGAAAGTTGACTGTACCCTCACCTGCTATCGGAACACGTACACACTTTGCACTAAGGCTCGAGAAGGAGAGGAAGCTCTTCAACCAACCCTCCTCCCCCCGCCCCCCACAAACTCCTCATCGCCCTCCCAAATCCCTGGCAGTAAGGGAGCTGAAGTAAAATGTAATAGTCAGTTAATGCTGTGACTGTCATCGGCTCCAAGTCGTGCATCAAACCCAATTGCCTTTGTGTCTTTAGCTGTAAGCCGCTGCGTTTGCATGATTTTCTTGACTAATTTTATGTACAGCATCCACTACTGTTATCATTTGTGCTAGTCCAGTTAAGTGCCTTAGTTTGTCATCCTATTTGAATAGGTCATAGAACTGTGCTTGATAAACTATGTTTAATAAACAGATTTAAAAACTCTAGCTGCTAAAAATGGCCAATGTGCCGTTATCAGTGTCCAAGAGGAACAATGTACTCCTCCTAAAATTTATCAATATATGTAAGATTTATACAAGAGTATTTTTTAATGCTATTTTAAAGTTATTGTTGATTAGAAGTTATGGCTTGTACTGAAATTTCCACAGAAATGGCAGTCAGGAGAAATATTCATACAAGAAACAAATATGGAAGGAGGAGAACTTTGAAAAAGCAAACCAAATGAACAAAAAGAATAAAGCCATGGTGAGTACTGGACACAGTGCATGGAATTGAAAGTTGACTGTTTCTACACATGGATTGGAATTTTCCCAACTCATGAGCTGAATGGGCAATAGCAAGAAATGTGGGAACATATGGTGGGATTGAAAGAAGGTTGAAGAATCTTGATGTTGAGAAAAAAAGCTCCGATTTTCCCCTCCCTTAAGGTTCCAATGGCGAGTTCTAAATCTTGCTAATAAGTAGCAACGACCTTATTTCCATGTATTTACATCTAATTAATACCCCAAATCATCTCAGTTGTATGCAACTCTCAATTCTCCCATTCTCGGTCAAGAAACTAGACAACAACAAATTCCGACTTATAAGTCAGAGTAGTTACCTGGCAGATCAGATTGCTACTTCCTTCTTCCCTGACGACTGTATTAGACAAAGCCTCTATCTGTTTTCAGGCCCTCTGTATCTGGTGCCTTGGCTTCCTCTGTGTCGAGGATGGCTGCCCTCTTGGACACCACCATCCACCAGAACCCCCAGGTACTTATCTGGAAAGTGGGATGCCAGTTTCTCTTTCTGAGACGTTTGTATGTCAGAAGGTTCCTGTAGCAAAGGGAATTTTCCCCTCTCCTGCCTCATGATTTCATGAGAAGAATGTCAAAGAGGCCACTTGCATAATTAATAAGGTGAGGAGTGAGACATAGTGTGTAGAAGATGGCTGTGATCCATGATGGGATACCTGCTATGAAACTATACCAGAACAGCACTTAGCCTAAAAATGAGAAAATTCAGCCCATTTACTTTAGATATGGGCTACCAGCGAGACTGGATGGAAATCCTGCCCTACCTCAATGTCACCAACAAGACAAGAATCCAGCCCATCATGTCTGAAACCAATATGACCCTTAATTTTCAGAACTGTCACATTTTCTAATTGCAAGACTATCTCAAACAGGACTGCTCAAAGGAATTGGCCATACCCTTCTCATCTACACTAGAATCAAAGAAAAGAAAAGTCAAGATTGACATTTACTTGAATCATTTTTAGCAAAATTATGTTATTGGTTATAGAGATCTGATTTTGCTTTACACAACAATTTTACAATAAATTAAGATAGTTATTTATAGATTCTGATTTTCCCAATATACTGAACCCATTGTAATGCATTAGTTTTACTGACACTGATTAAACCTAAATTACTATATCTACTGACAACAAGAAGGGTCACATTCCTCTCCTTTGCCCAAGTAGAATTTGTGTTTGGGTCTCTCATGTTTAAATCCTTTGCATCAATGGTCCACAGCTTTAATCTCAGCACCAGCAAGAGACACATGCTGCATTTAGATAGTAATTGGCTGTGACACTGAGCTCGTTTCTATGCACATTCATTATTAATTTATGGGCACTTAACAAATCCATTCATGTCAGTTAAGGATGGTGTTAGCATTACTAATTCTGGATTTACCAAAATTTATTTTAATTATGTTTCTCTGAAGCGCAGGTGTTTTATGTGAGCATTTTAAAAATATTTTAATCCTTTTTTTTGAAGCTCTCACCAGTATTTTGTGCTGTAGAGTTCCAAATAATGGACATAACTCTCAGCAATCAGCTGCACATAATTTTTGGATAGATCTGCAATCATTCATTTATGCCAACTAGCTTAATAGCTTCAAATAATACATCCTGGCAAAGGTGATCCTTCAGAAATGGCATGGATGATGAGCTGGGACATAATAATGGGTTTGTAAATGAAGGAAAAACATATACACAGTTCCTTCATTTGTATAAGTAATAAATGGTCAAAAGACTGAAAGAAGAAATGCAGATGCTGGTGGCACGAGATAATCTTGTGTTTCAGGAGCATTCAGGGTTTTGCCAGCCAGGAGTAAAATTGTCACTTAAAACATAGCTCTAATTACAGTACTTATTTTAAAAATAATTTTAAAAAGAAAGACATCATTTTATAATTCCAACAGACTAAACAAACCATCACAGCAACAATTTTCATTTATATATTGGGTACAACTTATTAAAATATTCCAAATTGCTTCACAGGAATGTTTTCAAATAAAGTTTGGCCTCAAACCACATAAGGAAGTGTTAGGACAGATGAATTTGCTTAAAGAGATAAATTTTAAGGTCTGAAAGAAGAGAGCGGATTAAGGAAGGAACTTCTGAGCTTCAGCTCTTAGCAGCTAAAATCACAACTGCTAATGATGCATGATTAAAGTTCGGATACACAAGTTTTTTTTTTAATTTATTCACGGGATGAAGGTGTCCCTGGCTAGGCTGGCATTTATTGCCCATCCCTGATTGCCTGGGGGCTGCAAAGAGGCAGCCACATTGCTATGGATTTGGAGTCACATGTAGTCCAGACCAGGTAGGGGTGGCAATTTCCTTCCCTAAATGACATTAGTGAACCAGATGGGATTTTCTGACAATCGAGAAAGGATAATAGACTCTTAAATTCCAGATTTTTATTGAATTAAAATTCCATTGTCTGCCATGGTGGGATTCAAACCCAAGTCCTCAGAACATTACCTGGGTTTCTGGGTTAACAGTCCAGCTATAATACCACTAGGCCATTGCCTCCCCTAAGTGAACAGAAGTGAAGAACTACAGAGATATGGAAGGATTGTAGGTTTTACAGTGGTACAGAAATGTGGAGCCAGTCATGAAGGGATTTGATGAGAGTTTTCAAATCGAGGAACTGCCAAATTGGCTAGCAAACCCAATGGTGATGGGTGAATAGGTCTTTTGGCAGGATTTTCCCTTCTACAGAAGTGGCGGGTCCGGTGGCAGGAAGGGCAAAAAATTGGGCAGGTTGGCACTGGAGGAGCACCCAACCCCCACTTCAGCAATTAAATACTGGACAGGAATGTGCATGATAAATTAATGACCAATTAAAGAGCCTCAGCACATCTCTAGCCCAGTTACCAGACTTTCAGACAGGGAAAACAAAATGTCCTGCTGACTAAAGTTGGAGGTTGAGTTGGCAGTCTTAATTTACCCCCATCAGAGTTTGCAAAATCATTTCTTCCCCTAATCAGCCGATTCCAAAGACATACCCAGTTTAGTTAATCACTTGTTTTCACACAGATGCTCTCCCCTCCAGTCATTCTAACTCACTCATGACTCTTCTCCCCCTTTAGTTCAATCTTGACTCCATTCACCTCAGAATTTCAAATAGTCTCTCAATCCTAGCACCTCATTCCTCTAAAATAATGCACATTTTTCCCTGCAATTTAATTTGGTTTCCTTCACTGCACTTGCTCCCCAAATACTTTGCATGACATTTCTTTATCCACGATTATAATTTAAATATGCTTTTAAAATAACTTGGCTAAAATAGACAGAGGGATGTCATATTAGCATGCTAAAAGTTCATGTGCTAATACAGTCATTTCTAACCTTATAATCACTTAAATAAAAGGCATCAAGATGTGACACAAGGCCTGTAATGTAATCATTAAAGACTCAGTGATGATTGTAAGCTGCATAGTCTTTGACGCTCTGGTTAGGGACTGAATTTGAAACTTTTCATTAGATTACTGCTCTGTATTAACTAATATTTTATAAAATAGTAACTGTAAGAAAAAAAAATTGATCCAGTCACTGTTCTTTTATACAAGCAGTTCGTTATATTAACTTTGAAATTTCATTAAAGTAATATTGTTCCACTCCGTTTCGGTAATTTTGATCATTTGCAAAGCTAAAGAAATGATTAATGTTTTGTGAGTCAACCTGGAAATGACCTGGGATTGCTGAATACAATTTATTATATTTTGTTATGACTGTCCAAATTCATTTCATATAGGTCAACAATGACTTGCATTTATATGACACCTTTGAAAAAAGCAAAACATCCCAGTTAATTTTACACAACAGAAAGAGAATTTTGAAAATAATCAATATGAGCTAGTTTCCAATTAAAGTTTCTGAAATGAAACCTATTGTAGTCCCCGGTCTCCATGCAGCCCTTTTCTTTAATTTATCTAGTCTCTAATCTAGATGATAAAGACAGCATAAACATGTAGATCACATGCACTACAGGAAAACAACCTGTTGTTTGCTGATAAAAAAAGAACAAAAACTATTTATTGATTTAATACAAAACATGTCAGGGAAGTGCTGAACTGAACAAGATTTTACAAACTGCACCAAATTGTATTTGCTTGTTCAGGATGAATGTCGTATTATCTATGTTGGAAAGCTAGCATGCAATATAACTCAAGCAGAACTAAAGCATCGCTTTGAAGTCTTTGGGGAGATTGAAGAATGCAGACTACTCGGTCAAGACAGGGGGTAAGTTATTATTAATAAGTGCTATACATTTCAATGCATGTTATTTTTTAACCAGTGGAAGATGATGCATGTTTTAAATTGCAAGTATTATTTTCTGTTTTAATACAAGAATGTTTTTTACAATGTAGTGACATGTATGGATACATTGCCTATCGCTACAGTGAGGATGCTGCTTTTGCTCTCAAGAATGGACACAATTTGCAGAAGCAGAATGAACCTGCCTTGCAATTGTGCTATGGAGGACTCAGACGATTCCGGAAAGCTAGTTACACTGACCTGGGTAAGGGGGCTACCAGTCCTTGTACATTACTACATATAATCTGTGAGAAATATAGCTCTGTATTTTGAGGTGTTGATCAGAAAACGAAATGCCAAGTATATTCTAGCTGAAGTGATGGCCTTATTTTGATATTCACAACTTCTTATTCCAAACTGTAATATATGAAACAATAAAATTGGCATTTGTACTTTGTCCCTCTCCTCCATTACCAAACTTCAAGATTTTCCCAATGCTTTCCGTAATTTTGGTTTAGTTGTTCAGGTGCCATTCTCCTGAAGATATTTCAGATCTGATGGAAATAGCTCTGAACTGTATTTTCAGCTTTATTTGATCTATCTCTATTTTCTTTATTTGTTTGCATTGTTTCTGAAAGAGTTCTGCTTTCAAACCTTTGCTGTTTTGATGTCATGGCATTTTAAAATTTACATTTTCATGGAAGTGTTTAAAGCAATCCCTTTAACTACAAAGTGCTCAGCAAAATACAAATTCCTTATCAATAGATTTTGTTCATGATTCAGTAAATATTACTGTTTACAACGAGATTGGTAAGTGCATACATAATTGAGTTTAATCTACATTCAGTAAGCCTTAATGAGTAGCATTAACAAACTCCTGGGTAGTTGAAAGAATGATCTTAACCAGTAGGCTGCTGAAAGACATTGGAATATACAATGGAAAGTTGTATATAGCAGACTAACCTTGTATTAAAATTATGATTTCTGTCTCAAAGATTACATTTTAGTGAGTAGATAAAGTGTTGGAAGTGGAAACACAGGCAGAATTTGTCATCTTTAGATTCTATTGGACATCAATAAAATCTGCCTTAGTTTATGAAACAGAAGTAACACAGAACTAAAAATATCTTGTTTAATTTTAGATACCAGTGCAGAAGACCTGGAGCCTGCTCCAATTAAAAGCAAGTATGACACTATGGATTTTGACAGCTTGCTGAAAGAGGCACAGAAAAGCCTGACTAGGTAACGGCCTTACATCTACTGCCTACAGAGGATGCCACAATACCTCAATCAAGGCACTTTTCATTTGTTTACCTCTGTCCAGTAGAACGGGACATTGTCCTTTTACAGTGAAACAAAAATGAAGTTTACATGAACCAAGCTGCTTCTGTCTGTGATTCTTTGGGTAGATGTCAAATGTCACAAGTTCGGGCAGTTTAGTAGAACTACTGCTCTTTGGTTGTTGTGTTCCCATAAGTATACATACAATAATAGTGGAGTTGCAGCTGTGTTCACCAATTTTAATGTCTGTAGTTTGGGATACCGTGTTAGTATAATGGGAATTGGGGTTAAACACGCGGGTGTTTTACATGTTTTATGTGCTGCATTTTAAAATGTAATAGTTTACATGTATTGAAGCGTTTTCTGTTGTAATTTATTGTGTGCTTCCATTGTTTCAACTATGCACTGTAACTGTAGCCTTGCCTTTTCAGTCCTGAAATTTCCTAACCAGAAATGTTTACATGTAATATTATAGACCTTACTATCATTATAGTGAACTAACATATCTAGGTTGACAAAGCTGTACTGTAAGTCATTGAATAGGTGCATATCAAGAGCAATTTATACCTGGGTGCATGAATGATAATTCCATTAATTGGTGGGATCATCAGAATGTTATAGCTATAGCTGATGAAAGTAAATTAATCTAAGATCATATACTGACAAAAAAAAAGAAGAAATTATGGTTATTATTGTTTCAGTATGTGTGCAATTCATTTAAAATGAGTGGGAAGGTATGGGGAGTTCAGATTAAGAAGCATGATTTTCTTTCAATTTTTTAATTTTTGGAACGCCTTACTTGTTTAATTACTGTTTTATAATTAGATTTTTTCCAGGCAGTTAAAATATAGTCCATTTTTGGTAATCTAATGTATTTTATTTATGATCTTCAGATTGAAACTTTGGAACCTTATACCTTTCCACGTCAGCTTTAAGTGTGATTAAATAAGTCTCTAGCTTCTAAGCAAATGGCATATTATGTATTTTTTAAATCATATCTTATAGTTTCCTAGAGAAGTAATTCAAATCACAAACTGTATTAAACATTATATTTTAATGTCTTGTAAATATGTTTAAACCTTCTGAAAGCCCCTTTAATGCACTTGTTTACATTAATAAAAATCGCAGAATGTAACCACACTCTTTTAACAATTGTATTTTATTTTTCAATATTTCAATGATTTGCTACTGAATATAAATAGCAATAAAATAATGTAGGAATTGATTTTTTTTGTACTAGTTCAATTCTATCTACTGGCCTATAAAACCTAATAATTAAAAGAGAAAGTTGTTTGAAAATTGTTTCACATCCCAAGTAGGAAAAAATGGTGAAGTGCTTTCCAGCTCATGTGACATCACACATTTCAACCAGTCATTTTTCCATTATAAATAAATATGGTAGCTTTTGTTTTTAATTTTGGCTATACCTTATATTAAAGCTATCAGACAATGACTAAGTGTCAAAAACCTGTTTGTATACTGTCATGCCAATGGGAAATAATGGCTAGCTTAGAAAATGTTGCTCTTTGTACTTTTTGAAGCACAGTACTTGTTTACTCTAGCGCTGTTTAACATTCTATCACAGTTTAGAGACATATTCAAAAATATATCTAATGTGGTTACTAATATACATATGAACATACAAATCACAAATAGAAGTAGGCCACTCAGCCTTTGAGTCAGCTCCACCATTCATCAAGATCATGATATATCTGATTATTCCACATTGCTGCCTTTCCTTTTTAACATTTCACCCCCTTGTTAACCAAGAATCTTTCTACCTAAAAAATGTTTGATGAATTAATGATGAAATACAGTAAGATACCCAGATCCATCTGCATTTTGAGGCTCTGCAATCCCTTTTTATTCTTTTTATTTTTTTTAGGTTTTTTTTTAATGTTCCTACCAAAATGGACAGTTTCATACTTTCCCACATTCTACTCCATTTACCACATCTTTGCTAACTCATTTAACCTATCAATATCACTTTGCAACCTTCATTTGTCTTCTTCACCACTTACTTTCCAACCTACTTTGTGACATCAGCCAATTTAGGAACCATATCTTCCATCACTTCATTCACGCCAGATTTGTAAATTATAACAGTTGTGGGTAAGTGCTGATCCCTGTGGCACACCACTCATTACAACTTGCCAACCAGAAAATAACCCATTTATGCCTAATCTGTTTTCTGTTAGCTAGCTAATGTTCTATTCATACCGATTTGTTACCCACTATATTCTGAGTGTATATTTTCTGAGTTAAACTTTGATATGGCACCTTATCAAATAACTTTCTGGAAATCTAAGTACAGTGCATCTACTGGTTTGCTTTCATTCACGGCGCATGTTGCTTCCTCGATTGTACTAATACTATTGTTAATTAACAGGACTGCCCTACATATTTTGTTATCTTTCTGACTTTTCTAAATTCCATGTATTTTTCAATATTCAGGTCCTATTATATGCCATCCCACTGACGTGACTGTGTAATTGCTATCAAATCATAGTTAGTTATTTCTGTGTATGCTAACGGTTCATCTGTTTTGTCTTGAGTGCAATATATATTCAGGTACAAAGTCTTTAGTTCTGTCCTTTTACTATTTATATCACCCACAACCTTATCTGTTCATTTACCCTGAGATTTTTACTATAGCTTTCCGTCACCATCTGCTTATCCTTTCCATATTTCACCTTTCTCTCTTGCTTTCTGTCTACTGTACGATTTACCAAATGTTCCTAAATTTGATCTCCTCCAAGTAGTTGAAAAACATATGACTTGCAATAACACTGGCCTAAGGACTATCCAGTTGAAGATTGCCCTAATGTGATAGATCCCATATTCCCCAGAATGTGGTGCTTGACCTCAAGTGATCCAAGCCCATTTCTTCCACACCATTCTTTGAGCCATGGATTTACTTCTCGAATTTTATTTACCTTGTGCCAACTTATTCATAGCTCAGGTAATAATGCAATGATTACTACCCCTGAGCTTCTCCTTTTTAATTTAATTCCTGCCTACCTGTAATTTGTCAACAGAACCTCTTTCCTATCTTTTCCTGTATCATAGATATCTACATGGACCATAGCCACTGGCTCTCTCCTCCCTTTCCAGCAAGTCTCTTTCCAGCCCCAAACAGATGTCCAGGACCCTGTCACTGGGCAGGCAATGCAATCATGCAAACTCTTGCTCTTAGCCACAGAAAACTGTGTTTGTCCTTTGCATACTGTCATTCATCCCTCTATATTCCTATTAGCTCCCCTGCTTGAATGACTTCCAGTACCATGCCACACCTCTGCCCCCAATTTTGTCTGCACAGGCTGCTAGAACATCAAACCTGTTGACAAATTACAAAGGCTCAAATTCCTGCGCTCCCACCCCTTAACTGCCTCCCTGACAATCACACACTTCTGCCCCTAAACACTGACCGAATCAGTAGGCCTCATCATGAGGGATGTGGCCGTCTCTTGCAATATAGGGTCCAGCAAATTTGCTTCCTCCCTAATGTATTACAATGTCTGCAGCTCAACCTCAAGCTCATAAACCCTGAGCCAAAATTCCTGCAGTTGCAGACACTTGCTGCAAACATATTTGCCCTGGATCACACCAGTGCTCAGAAACTCCCACATCTTGCAGTCACACAACGTCACCAGCCCTGCCTTTAAATGTTAATTAATATATTATTCAATTTATAATTACTAATCCCTACTCACTCACTAATTGCCTATCAATTTCCCTGTGATGACATACTTTTGTTTGTTTCTTTTTTTTAAAACAAATACTTTACAGAGAGAGGCCTAGCCCCAATCCGTACTCTTGCCCTATTTATGGAATCTCCACCTCCACTCTTACACGTTTTCTGTCATGCATCCACAAAGCAGAGAAAGCAAAAGGAGAGCCATTTTGATTAGTATCTTAATGAATGCTATTTATACCTTATATTTATCAGAAATAAGTTAGTCCTAACCATCTCTAATCACTCATCATTATTTCTTGCAATACAATATGGTAACATTAGTTATGTTTTTATTCATTTTTGGCAAATGGCTAATACTGACTTTTTAGTTGCTTTGGAATTACAAATTCAACATTGCACTTCAGCTGAGATCATATTATCCAAGGAAGAACTATTTAAATGACCAGAATAAAAGTCCTCCACAAGTACTCAAACCTTGTTAGATGTATAAGATGACATCATTCAAGCTAACCACAATTCATCATTGTCAGGACCATGCAAATACTCTTTCCTTTCTCTCTCCTAATGACATGGTCAAATGAGAATCAGTGGGAAGAAGGACAGTGTAAGTGTATATTTCTGAGGCCACACACAGAGACCACAATTGTGATCATTGATAGATTGAGCATAAAGTGCATGAGCATTTTCAAAGTTGGAGGCTATCATGAAACTAACTGGTACCCTTCTGCGTTATGCTTTTATGGTAATACATCGTTGATAATGGAGAATAATGAGTTACATGAAGAAGCAAAATGTAAATCACATCTCTATGAGCACTAGCTGCTGCCTTCCAAAGGACAGCAACCTACTTTGATAAAGTTCATAAAAGAGCCAGGCTCCACGACAATACCTCTAGAATTTGGCCTCATAGGGCCTCACAGAGTGAAGACAGTTTGTGGTAGCTATTGTTTTTACACAATGGCAAAGTGGACACAGATGGTCAGTGACAAAGGGAAAAGAAGCAAAAATCCTTGTTCCTGTATTCTTACAATGAAGGTTAATGTATCACTAGATTCCTAATAAACTGCTGTACCTCTATGCTTGCTTTCAGTGACTGGTGTACAAGAGCTACCTGGTCCCTTCGTACATTAACATTTCCCAAACTTATCAACATTTAAATGATACTTTGAGTTCTGTTTTTACAACTGAAGTGGATAACTTTATACTTGTCCTTTTTTATACTGCATCTGTCAGGTATTTGGGTGGCACGGTGGCTCAGTGGTTAGCACTGCTGCCTCAACACCAGGGACCTGGGTTCAATTCCACCCTCAGGCAACTGTTTGTCTGGAGTTTGCACATTCTCTGTTTGCACAGTCTGCATGGGTTTCCTCCAGGTGTTCCAGTTTCCTCCCATAGTCCAAAGATGTGCAGGTTAGGTGGATTGGCCATGCTAAATTGCCCACAGTGTCCAGGGGTGTATAGATTAGATTGATTAGCCATGAGGAAATGCAGGATTGCAGGGATAGGGTAGGGAGATGGGTCTGGGTAGGCTGCTCTTTGGACGGTCAGTATGGACTCGATGGGCTGAAAGGCCTCCTTTCGCACAAGAGATTCTATGATTCTATTTGCCATTCAATCCACGTATTTAAATTGTCTTGAGTCCTCTTCCTCACCACTAGTAATTACTTCTCCTCATTTTATGTTGCCAGCAAACTTGGAAATATTACAATTAATTCTGTCATCCAAATCCTCATTGGCACAAGAAAAAATTCATATAGTGTATTGAGTATAATTTCCTAGAATAACATTTATGGGTCTAATCAGCAATCAGGCTATTTTGGACAGGTAAGGTGTACAATGGCATGTATAATAAATGAGTTCAAAATCAAAACATGGGCTGGCAAACAGCAACCGTTGAATTATACAGTACAGAAGAGATCCTTTGGCCCATCGAGTCTGCACAATCAAAAACTACTTGAAATTTACACGTCCCACTTTCCAGCATTTGGCCCATAACCTTGAATGTTATAACATTTCAAGTGCTCGTTCAAGTACTTTTTAAAGGTTCTGAAGTTTCCTACCTTAACTACCCTCCCAGGCAGTGCATTCCATAATCCCACCACCCTCTGGCTGAAAAAATATTTTCTCAAGCCCTCTCTAAACCTCCCACCTTTCACCTTAAAATTGTGCCCCACGCTATTGATCCTTTGACTGAAGAGAATAGCTGCTTTCTATCAACCCTGTCCATGCCCCTCATAATCTTACACACTTTAATCATGTCCCCTGTCAGTCACCTCTGCTCTAAAAACAAACAACCTGAGTTTATCCAACCTCTCTTCATAGCTAATTTGTTCCAACCCAGGCAATATCCTGGTGAATTTCCCCTGTACCTATTCCAGTGCATTCACATCCTTCCTACAGTGCAGTGATCAGATCTACACAAAGTACTCCAAATAGA